TGTGGACCCTTCAGTGGGAGCTGTAGTCACATGCTCCTGAGCGGCTCTTTTGTGTATTGTTTCTTGTTGTTCTTGTGACCAGCAGGGAAAAGGAGGCTTTCTGTTGTGTTTCTTGCTGCTGTTGCCTCCTGTGCGCTTGCCTTTTGTGTTTCTTTTTTTCCTTTTCCCTTTTTACTTAAAGAGTCGTAAGAAGCTTCCACCGAGTTTTAAATACTACCAAAACTGGGCGATGGGGCCACTTCCTGAATTTGCCCACGTCACATTCACTAGATGTTTTTATTTTGTGTTATATCTTTGCTTCAATCCTTTAAATGGCTCCCTTACCTTCTCTTCCTGTTTTCGGTCCTTATATCACAGGTGGATAATGCCAAAATTCTCCACTATGTTGGAGCAGGCATTGCCTTTCCCACCAGTATGCTGTTTGTGTGCCTGCAGTCAGCGCTGACGTACCGACTGGCCAAAACCCAAGGGGAGTACAACTTGGCCCACCTCCGGCTCTGCATGACCCTGCTGGCCTTCGTAGCCTTGGTGCTCAGTATCCTTTCCAGCCTCTACAGATGGCTGCCCTGAAGCATAAGGGACTAAGCATCCCCTTTGACCTCTTTTCATCAGATATTTTTATTTATTATTTCATGCAGTTAGTCCCTGGCACCTCTTTAGCAATGACATAAAACAGCAAGAGTTTTTAACTCTATAATTGCGTGATACAGTGACCTTTTTACCAGATATTAATGTAGTGCATTAACGCCAGTCTCGTGTCTGCTTCAGACAGTTTTGGAAGCACGCAGCAGGAAATCTTGGCGCACTCCAGCATATTTCATAGTAGGAGGTGGAAGATTAAAGACCGACTTAAGTCCGATCCAATATCTCTGTCAGCTGATATCCATCTAGAGAAGTTACAGTGCATGTGGGAAAAACATATTAGCCTGACCTACAGTACAGATATACAGTAGCTGTAGTCTGGGCCTGTTTCTTCATGGGTAACATAATCAACATGTGAGCACTTGTAAAGCTCACTAATTAACTCATTGTGTCTTGTTTACTTAACCTGGACAAAAACTGAGTGTTTAATCTGCATCGTGCAGGTGAGTGGGGCCGTGTCCATGACTGCTTCCTGTTAGGGCGTTTCGGCTTTAGGTCCTCGCATTGCTTTTCTGCTGTTTTCCTTAACCGTGTGTTTCAGGTGGTGTTTTTTTCTGTCAGGAGAGCTTCGTCCTGCAACACGCCTCGGCCATCTTCGAATGGGTGTTCTGCATCATCATCATGCTTTTTTATGGGACTTTTGCCTTCGAGTTTTCCAGCATGTCAGGAGGTACAATGGTGGTGCTGGCGAGAGGAGGCTCCCTGGGACCTGTTGGGAGAGAACACAAGATGGATGCGCTGGGAGGGCCTGGTTTGCACTCACAACCACATCCACACCAACCTGAAAGCATGTCCATGCTGTAGCCTCCTGGCACACGTTGATGCCACACAGTTGCCTCATTTTATTCCTTTCCAACTCTAGTCTGAATTATTCATTTCCAGCCGTGTTCGTCTGAAGGTTTGAAATGAACCAGGCCAGTGCAGCAGCCGTTCAGAGCGGGCGTAGCTCTGCTGCAGTTTATACTTGCGTCAAACTTTGTGTCTCCGAAGAACTTGTTTGCATTTTGCACATTGCACAGGCGTGCAAAACCAAATTTTCTCCCTGCTCATGGCTGTGCTCAGTGACTATCAGAGGAGCGTTTTGGGAATCAGATCATGGAGTTCTTGTGAATCCGATGGCCTCGGATTTAGATGACTGCCGCGATGCGTTCAGAGTGTGTAAGAAGTGAAGGCTGCTGGACAGCCCAGCTGACAGTATTACAGTGGGAAGGTGTCACAGTGTTTTCAAACAGGGCGGCAGTTTGCATTTTTCATCACGTAAACCTCTGTTAAGCAATATTTTTGATGTTAAGTCACGTCTTTGTAATTAACACCCTGCACTGTATAGATCTTCTTTTGTTTTTTACTGTTTTGGTTATTCTTTCTGCATACTCATCTGCACATTACCTCCCTTCCAAAGCCACGTGTAAAGCTAAAATATTTCTGTGGAGCTGGTTGACCAAAGCTAATCAGAAATAATATTATCTGGTGGACATCAGAGTAGTTCTGAGCTCTGCTGTGCATCTCATGAGCTTGCATTTAGATACGAGTGTCATTTTGTTTAAAATGCTTATTGCAGCATTAAAGTTTGTGCCATATATGCAAGCCTAATATTGCTGTTGAAGTATCAGACCGCAAGGACTTATTGTTTCCGGACTATTTGGGTGACGTTTCATATGTCTTTATTTAAACTGTGTTAAAAAATTCACTGAGCTCTGAGTCACATAAATCTTCTAATTAAGACTGAAAAAATACACCCTTCCCCATTCTTCTTGGGATCCATAGACTCAGCTCTTAAATAATGCTGGATTGAACTCCTTCTCTGTAAAAGAATATGAGGGAGAGGTGACACAGTGTCGAGAGGCCAAATATGTACCAGCTAATTCAATCCAGAGCACTGGCTTTATTGAGTTTAGTGACGGGGCATTACACGTGTTTTCAGGTCCTGTAGGCAGAGGTCTGCATCTTATTATTCCCACATGCAGGAGGAGGAGAACATGTTCTTATTGCTTTAGCTGTTTCCTTTTTTTGTGAAGCTCCAAACTTCGCACAGGTGGAGATGCTTCAGCACGTCAAGCTGGTGTAGTGCGATAAAGGGAAAAGGATTTGTATAATGTAAGACATGGTGGAGATGGACTGTCCTGCTTCAGTGTTAACGTGTTATTTTGTAGTATGTGCCAAATACAAGTCTGCCTATGGCATTGGTGCTAATACACAAATAGGCCTTACCTTGTTGTTTTCTCTTACTTCAGCTGTGATTACAGCAAAGCAATAAGAAGAGACATGGGGTAAATCGGTGACTCTGAGAGTGAGAGCAGGGACAGAAGGTTAGCAATACCAGCACGTGGAGAAATGCTCCATGCTTGCTAACATCTGTGCATAATTTTCTCAAGCTTTGAGGAGGCAGAGGCTTTACAACAGTAGTACTTTATGTAATTGGCCATCAGCACATCTGGCCACATGTCGAGCTGAGATGTTGTTTGTGTAATTTGTCCGCAAATTCACAGTATGTTACTGAAAGTAGTTATTCACTATCAGGCTGAATGTATCAGACTAACTGAACTAGAGTGATGGGGAAGCCTGCGCACGCTGCTCTGAGGACGGAGCTGAAAGCGACACCAGCTGCAACACTGAGCACTTGCTTCTCTCTGCTGGTCACACTGCTTATTGCATGTGTTAAGCTCACATGAGGGTTTTGTTTTCTACTTGAAAAATTGTCAGTTTTTTCTGCCCGCAGTCCGAATACTAAGACCAACTAATGTTTTTATCCTTTTATTTCATAAAGGTGGAGGCTCAACTCCAGCCTGAGCTTCTGCCTGCGACAGTATGAGGTTCTTCTGAGAAACCACATTAAACATTCAATACATTTGAAACGTTCACTAAAATAATGGTGCTAATCATTTCACATTTACTTAAAGTACTAAATCCGACGTCATGGTTTGTGAATATTCCCTATTTCTAGCTGACCACTACAAAAAAAAGAAACATTTCTTTTAAATCTTCACATTTGCCATCATTCTCTTAATTTCATAACTCATTCTTCCTCATTTATGGATCTATCTGATCTCTACACTCAGGAAAACATTACCACACCAGCTGTGTTCTTTGATTCAAGGCCTTTGGCTTTCTGCCGTCTTTGTTTAAATTTTATTTTTGTCGATGGGATTCCTTGTGTACATTTGTTTCTTTGTGTAGTATAGGTGCAGCTGACGTTTTTTGTTTTTTTTTACCCAGCTGTAAGACTGGTGATTAGCCATGACGTAATAGATTATTTTTGCTAATCAAGACTCTGTTAAATGTGCGAGAAAACTGAGCTCACTCGTGCAATCGAGATCATTGGTGAGAGCTTTCTGACTAACAAGAACCCAACAATCCTCGCAGCACCCCACTCTCAGTTACACAGCTCCCTGTGCCTTATGTGCTGTTTTGATCATGGAAACCAAAGAGGTCACAGTTGTAAATTCTAT